ATCGCACACACACACACACACACACACACACACACACACAGCAGTGAACACACACCCGGAGCAGTGGGCAGCCATTCATGCTGCGGCACCCGGGGAACAGTTGGGGGTTCAGTGTCTTGCTCAAGGGCCCCTCAGTCGTGGTATTGAAGAAGACAGCGCAGTACATTCACTCCCCCCACCTACAATCCCTGCCGGTACGAGACTCGAACCCACAATCTTAGGGTTACGAGTCCGACCCTCTAACCATTGATGTTCTTGTTTACTACTTTCCAATCTACTCCAGTATGCCAGAGATATTTTGTTTCTTCTTATATCTAGTGGTAATTCTTCTGTTGCTATCATTAAGCCATTATTTGGAGTATGTCGGAATGCTCCAGTACATTCTCTTAAAGCTTTAGCCTGTATTATATCCAATTTTTTGAGGTTTGTTTTGGCTGCTGCTCTGTATATTATACAACCATAATCAAAAATGGATCTCAGCATACCTCTCTATGTATTAATCATTGTTGTTTTATCTGCACCCCATCCACATCCTGATATAGCCCTCATCAAATTTATAACTTTTTTGCTGTTCAGAGTCAGATAATCTGGAGTGAATCATAGAGTCAAATCAGAGCCACACACACACACACACACACACACACACACACACGCACACAAACACACACGCATGCGATCCAAACGAAGGCTGTCATCCATGATGATCCGTGCTGTATTAAAGAGGATGCTCAGTTGCATCAGATCATGCCTTTAGTTCACAAGCTTCAGGCCCAGAGACGTTGATTCATTTAATGATGATGATTATTATTATTATTATTATATCACAAATCTGGCATGTTTTAATAAAAACAATAACAGCATCTGTCTGGACAACATCAGAATGCACTCACATCCATTAGATTCAGTCTCAAACATCCCTGCTGGAAAAACAAACAATAAAAGCCATCACAGAAATTCTGATGCTTACAAACACCATTACAAACCATCAACTCTTAACCATTCAAAAATGGTTTTCTGTAGTGTGTTTTGGGAAATGTTCAATTAGGATTTATTGGTTTTAAAAGCCACCAATAGAAGCTGATCAATTACTAGTAGAGACCCACAGGGTCCATTACAGTTTCCATTAAAACCAATACAAGTCCCATTATAACCAGTAACACCATTACAGATGTTGTGATGCTGTCTATGGTTTTTCTAAGCAGAGATGTGCTGGTCACATTTCACCTCAGAATCTAAAGAAAAAAGTAATGACATTTCAGCACTTATTTTAGTTATCTTCAACTGTTTTATATTAACTTCACAAGGTTATTGAGTGAAGCTGAATCAATACTAAATTACAACACTTTTGTCTTTTTCCAGCTGCTTTACAGCCAAATTTGGACTTGTGTCATACTTGATGAAGTCTGCATCACTGATTCTGTCTCTTCCCTGTGTAATACTGTAAAGCTGCTCTAAAACAA